TTAAGAGTCCCTCGTTCCATCTCATTCCTGCTGTTGATTCACCAGAGATCTGGAGATGCCGCTTTGGAAAATCGACTCTGCTCTTCAGAACTCCTGAGTGCTTTGGAGAGGATCCCAGCTGAGCTGTTGGGGTGCTCAATTTGTCAATAGCAATGGATCGCACCGCAAGAGGAGGTTTTGTCGCTGTCTGCCTTCGTCTCCTGCGTTCGCTTGTCCCGCCAGGTGGCTGCTGTCTTCATTCACCCTGCGTTTGTCTCCCTTCATGTGTGCTTACTGGTGGCTGTCATGACCATGGTCCGGTCTGTGATTTGACTCTTGCCTCCATTCATGTAGTAGAGGCAGTACAGGGATGTAAAGGTTAGACACATAGGTCTAGGGTGTGTCCCATTACCAGTAACAGTTGGTAAACGATTATCATCGAAGGCCTGCAATCTAACCACCATCATCCACTGCACATGTCATGTCCAATGGTTTGGAGCTGGCTTATTTTTCCAGAAACCGTGCATCATCTTTTTTTTGGTTTGGAACGTCTCCAATCAGGCGTGTAGAAGTGGCACCAATAAATCGCGGTTTTCAAACCACTCTAAAGAAGCCACAGAGAAGTCTGACATCATACATACAAAGTTTCGTGCACGTAGAACTTTACTCTTCGTTTGACATCCAATGTCGTGTGTGCTGTATACTTCGGGTCTGTCTCATTCAACTGTGACAGTCCGTAAACAATTATCACTATTTAAGGCCATGGCCTGCAACCTAACCATCATCATCCACTGTTACTACTGGTGATTGGATATATACATATATACATACAATGTATACTATACATCCTGGGATTCCTTCAAAGTTAAGGAGTTCCCTCTCTTTTCAGGCGCACTCTCTTTGGCACTTTTGATGGCAAACAGTGCATGGGACATGGCATTTCCATGAATTTCCCAGTTCCGGTGCATCTATGATTTTGTACTAGTGCTGATTCTAGGGCAGGGGCCATCTTTGGATCCACTGTGTTTCTCCTTACCGCCTGCATGGTGCAGTAGATGCTTCAGGGTCCAGGTCAAACAGTTCAACCTCGGGGCCAGGGAAGTGGAGGGACCCTCCAAACTGCTTTCTGAGCTCTTCCAGAGAATCGGGTGGTCAATGGACACTCCGAATTCACCTGGGCGCCCTTGTTAGACATCGCCCCCCTGTTTCGGCGGCGCCCTGGGTCTGGTCCTACGCGACGGGTCCACGAGTCCTGCGCCTCCAAGCCTCGCGCCCTTCGATCGGCCGACGCGGCGCTTGGCGGATGCGGGACCATAGTGCTTTCAACCACTCCCCCATAGTGCTTCTGTGTTTTTCTTTTAAAAGACCTGCATCGCCTCACTTTTCATATGGCGGAATGGGGCGTCAAAGAACCCCACCCCATCTTCAGCGAATCGTCGGTTCCCGGCGCTGGACAGGCTCGGAGTTCCTCCAAGCCATGCCGGCCAGCACGCTCACGAGGAAGTCCATCAAGGCGCAAGGCTACCAGGTGCGGAGCTTGGCCGTGGGCTCGCGGTTTGGTCGTCTTGGTCGTCTTGGTCTTGTCGTCCTTCTGTGCTTCCCCTCCACCCGGGAACTTCGGGGTGAAGCAGCGAATCCAGGCAACGCCATGTGTTCCTTTTTGAAGCGTAGTCTTTCGCCCCGCCCCAGTCGCCTTTGTCGAAGGCACGAACAAAAAGAAACTTTGACTCTTCTCCATGCTTGGGCTCCAGATTCTGCTCAGATTTGAATAAGCTTGACCTCGTTTCTGCTGAGCACACCGCGGACCGAGGACATCTCGGTGGAGACTTCGACCGTGCCAGGACGGAGCGGTTTTCAAGCTGAGTCAAACAGGAGATGTTATGACACCAAACTGGTAAACGGGCAAATCCGGACACTGGGGTGTTTTATTTTTAGTGTTTTTTTTGTTTTTATTTTTTAAAAGTATATATTTGTATATATTTAGACATTGGGGCCATTTTGCATACTGAATTCGATTTAATTTAGTCAGTTGGTTCCAGCTGGCAGCTTAGCAGCTTCACAAGGTGAAGATGAGCATCGTTTACACAGTCGTCGAACGGTGCGTGTCATTCATGTTCGCTGGTGTTGGGTGAGCAGCGCAAGCACTTGTCTTACCAACAGCTTTGGTGGATCAAGGTCCGCTCTTCGGAAGATGCGATCGACCTACTCGTTGCCTTGCCAAAGCAACGAGTGACATTCGGGTGGGGTTTTGCCCGGTCGATGCAACACTTCTGGATCAATCAATGGGTTTCTATTCGTTGAGGGAGACCTCCCAATCAATGGGTTTATATGGGGTAAAAAAGAAACTGCTTTTGCGCTTCCCAGGGTCTTTTTGGAGGTCTCCCTATTCCAATACACACTGAAATATCATCACGTGATCCCTTTTCAGGCATTGGTTCCAGTCAGTGCTTCTCAACGCAGAGACGTGACGCTCCATGAAGAGCGACTCTCCACGGAGCAGCCAAACTCCATCACCGGCAAGGTGCTTTCCCTCACGTGCAGCACGTGGAACCACACGGAACTACGCCCCTCTTTTGGCGACACGAATTGGAGCCACATAATATGGGTTGCAGGATGGCCTGGCTTCTTGGAAGACAATTCTCACTTCACAAGCAGAATGTTTTCCACCAAAACACTAGCTGGTTCGATGCCAAGGCAACTCGCAACTTCACTAACTCAGTGCCCTTAGCTCAAGACTTCACCATTCAGCTAGCTAAAGATTCAGTTTCCTTGTGTGCATTGGGTGGGGATTGTTCCTTTTTCATGCACTTGCATTAACGTATGCGCACTCACTTTGTAGACGTGTTAGACGTTCCTGATCCTTTGGATTGATCATAGACGTTTCCTCCCCCAAGTTCACCAGAGATTCTGCCGGCACTTCTTTGATTTTCGTTGCAGGCTCCTGTGTCTCGTTCGCTTCCGTCCCCAGAAGCCGACCCATGCTCTCCTAGCTTCCGCTCGTGCACCTCGCTGGGTTCCCTTTGCCATGATTCAGGAGCCAAGAGCGAGCTTTGGAGTAAAGCTAGGCAGGGGCTGATGGGCTGGCAGGTATGACGCTGCGAGAGACAGACATCTGACTGGATGACTTCAACTAGGGAACCCAAGTAGATCCTCAACAACCACGAACATCGATAGAGAACTTTGTGGATATCACCGTGCAGCAAACATCCACAAAGAATGAACCCTGCACAAAAGAACCAGGACAACAAGTCCAGCATCGCGAGAACATCACGGTGTCCACCTTCCATCAGAAGTTCATCTTCATGGTCTTTGGTCCATCCACCAGTGACCCAAACACTGTAGCGGAACATCTTGACACAACAAAAGTCAATGGATTTGAAGAAATTCATTTGGGTTTTCTTCCCTGGGCGGGGCCGATGGATTGCAGGTGAAATGGTTCATTTCGGGTTTTCACTTTACTCTGTGTTTTTGGTAAACGGGGAGGGGATTGAGAGGGCTGGAGACTTTTGCTCCCAAGGCAGAAGAAATGTGAACCATTCAACCAGTCAAGTCAGAACAGCCGTCGGTGTTGCTTTTGGTTGTGCTACCCCAGCTGCCCGCCATAGGGCGTCAACCCAGCAGAGCCTAACAGAGCCTACGCTTTTGTCCCAAACACTCCGACACATGGGGGGTGGGACCGTGATGGAGAGGGGGGTCCGAGCGGGGTTCTTACATCAGGAGGCCCTAGAGTCGAGGCTTGTTTGGAGCGCCAGGGAAGAGGTTTTTAGTCCGGCTGATGGTTTCTTCATCGGATTGGTCTCCAAAAGAGCTGAAGGCTATGTGCCAAGGAGGTGCATCTTTGGACCCACCGGCTGCTGGTGTGGCATCCTCCTCGACTTGTGACATCATCTACAGTAATTTTCTGACTGGTGCTTAGTAAGGAATGAGGGTGGCTGGATCCTAAGGTATCCAATCAGTGGAGAGGTCATTCCCTACATCTCCCTAGGAATTCAGCTGCTGCGTCAGCTTTCAGCACTCAGATCCAATCACCCAATCACCCAATCACCCAATCACTTCGCCCCAGAGACCCCTTGGCTTCCGCCCCAGAAACCGAAAACCCGGCCTAAACCCACCTGTCTCGGCCGGTCACCGTTGGTCCGCCCTTGTCAGCCGCTCCCGTCGACGGCCTCACCGCGCGAGGTCTGCGGTGGCGCAGACCTTCACTCCAGAGGACCGGCGCCAGCTGCGGCGCGAGCTGCGCGTGGAGCGTCCGGGCCCAAGGAGAGAGGGCGGAGGAGCGAGCGAGCGATTCCCGTGGTGCGGTGAAGGACCTGGGGAGAGAGAGAGAGAGAGAGGAGTTTTATATACAACATATATTATATGTATATATATACAACATATACACTGTATATATATATATATGTATATATATATGTTTATTCCCTTTAAAGGGAGAGAAAGCATAGGACACATCAAGCATCCGGGTGGTTGGGGGGAGTGAGACTTTGGAATTTGGCGGTTGTCTCCCAAATTCGCACAGCGGCTTGGAAGTTGAATGCTAAGGTGTTGCAATCTCGCAGGGTTGGCTTGAAGGAAGACCTCCTTTCCAGCAACCAAAGATGAAAAAAGGGGCAGAGGTTGTGGCGGCGGCCAGTGTGACATGTGTAATATAATGAATATGATTGAAAGAGGGCAACCCCCTAAAGACCCCTAAAGATTGGAAAAGAAATCAGAGGGTCTCCCTATTCTATTTGGCTTCCATTGACCACTCTTTCAACCGCAATCTTCCTGTGTTGCTGGGATGGGTGCGACCGACCAGACCCAGTCACCGATGGCGGCCTCGCCCAGTGCACGAACGCACCGTCGCGACGACCTCGGCTCAAGGCATCGGGGAGGCCATTTCTTCTTTTTCGGCTCGGCGGACGACCTCGGGGTTTGGCTCGGCGTGGTGTCTTTCTTTTGGTTTCTTCTTCCACCGTTTTGGGAGTTGGTTTGGAGGCCACTGAGGTGTTCCTGCCGCTTTTTTTCGTTTTAGTGGTGCCATGTGCTCACGGCGCTGGATTCTGTTGATCGGCAGCTTCACATGTTGTGGTCTGCTTCTAAGTTTGCCCGTGCCAGAGATCCGGTTCATCCGCCGTGGCTTCGCGCCCCAGGAGTGCATCAGCCGTCCCGAGAACGACTTCGACTCTTCCTGCAACATCACCTGCTCGTTCAAGGAGGGCAAAACTCTGTTGGAGTTTCCGAGAACCCGCACCCTGACAGGCCCATGTGCCGCCCGGATTCAAATGATTCAGGATACTCTTCAGTTGGGTCGCAAGAGACAGTTCTTGGGAGACTTGAGAGTTTTTAACGCAAGCTGTGGAGCACTCACAACATCTTCGGAACCTGACCTGGTCTATTGGTGTGGCCTCTATGCTGTCCGCCTCTGTCAAGATCCGGGCGTCCTCCGTCCGATGTTCCAGTTGCTTCTACCGATGTCCGGACGGGTCGGCGGGAGAAGCGAGCGAGCGCCCAGCGCGCGGTATGTGGGCAAGGCTTTCTACTATTTGTATCTTGCCAGTTTTCAGTCCATCCGAGTGGAGCCCTGTGTTGATCAGACTGAGTCTCTGAGAGTCTCTGTGTTGCAAGACGAAAAAAGAAAGACATACTCTCTGATTCTCAGTATTTCGTTGGCTGGTGGAATTGGTACCTTACAAATCATCGAAAGATCATTTATAGGATCTGTCCCCATCCTTACCAGCAACAGTCGGTAATAATATTTTGAACTGTCGGCCTTTTCTAACCATCATCATCCACTCTTTCATTTCGTGAAGCCTCTTCCTCATCGTCTCCATTTGCGACTGTGGTTGGTGAAAGAACTAGAAAGCGAGTAATCTCAGCGCTTTTTTGCTTCAACGGTTTGATGCGGCTTCCTCAGAAATCTCAAGTCGCTCGTTGGAGGCATTGTTTGTTTTTTTCGATAGCGAGAGTGGTTGGCTTTTTACTTCAAGCATAGGCTTTGGAGCCTGAGTGCGGGTGCCGCTGCAGGGTGCCGCTCCAGGGTTTTGCTGCGAGATGTCCATGGCCGTGTGCGCTTCGTTCACTGGGTGCTACTGTCTCAGCAGGTGGCTGCTTCTGCCCAGAAATCTTTTGCTATCTGGCATCACTTTTCTGAAGATGGATTCTTCATGGCTTGGTGCAGCGGATTTCCAGGCGGCCATGGAATTCCTACAAAACAGGTTGACGCTCGCAGGAGGCTGAGCTCATGAATCAAGGGACCACTTGTCCCCCTTGATGGGTTTCTCCACTTCCAAGTGATTTTTATCGTTTGTTCCAGAGTCCAATGTCCAGGTATGGCCTCGATGAAGGCGTCCAGCAGCTGACGCGAGCAGCGGAGCTGGGCCTTCCAGAGGCCTTGGTGAACCAGGGCTTTAGCTATTTGATTGGCCCTTTGGACATGTCAAGAGACAATGCCAGAAGTTCCCAAGGGGTGCTGAACTTGGAGGAAGTCGGGGTGCCCATGATCCACTCACTTAGGGACAAAAACCACCCCTTTGTGACTCCTGGTATGTACATTTGGAACATTTTGGGACCCGTAGATTGAGTCAGAACCTTTATGAACAAACTGTTAAGACTTGTTTGATGAGGATATTTGTATCAAACAAACTTGACCACTCTTTCGATCTTCAGTTGCAGGCAGTAGAAAAACTGTTCGTTTCTCTAACTTTGCCATCCCAGTCCCTTGTGTTGGTCTTTTCCTTCCTGCCGTGAGTTCCGCAGCAAGGTCCCGGCATCCAGGAAGATCAGGAGGCCGAAGGCTTGAAGTTGCTCGAGCTCGCGGCCCAATCGGGCGACCCGGTCCGGTCCTCGGTGAGGATTCACATGGTTTTCCCATCTTCCAGGGCAGCGAATTCTCTTCTATCTTTTTCCTAAACAAGTTCTCTCCCGAAGTGGGGGGGAGCTTGGTTCGTTGATTTTGTCTTTTTTACATGTCTCATGTGTTTTGAGCATTGGACTTGAAAAGGACTTGTTAGCTGGTATATGTGAGTCTGACGACAGAACTACTATCAGTACGTTTCTTCCGCCCTTTCCCGGTCCCGAACCGACGCCGACCGTTGGATGGGTGAGACCCCCTGACCCGTCAGGCGGCGTTGCCGTTCATGCCAAGGTCTCTGGTGCGGAAGAGATGCGTTCCCTGGCAAAGCAGCTGGTTCAAAACTATCGTCAGTGCCGTGACAGGTTCCGGCACAAGCCTCTTGAGCCTCAAGTTGATCCACTGAGCTGGATCGGCTTGATCGTCGTTTTGGCGCTGCCGCTGGTGCTCCTATGGGTCTTTTGCATGTTTCGGGAACGGCCCAAATTGCTTGCAGGGGACGCAAGCCCAAACTTCTGCATTCACCTCGTTGATGGCACTCAGAGAAGCTTTCATGAGTTTCTGTGTCAAAGACATGTACCAACCTTACTGGTGTTCTACCATACCCTCCAACCACTTGGAAAAGATGAAGGGCATTTGCTGAAAGTCTTCCAAGAGCTTGAAGAGATAGACCAGCTGGTCAGCTATCGAGATGAAGACCTTCAGTGCATCATGGTGAACGTGGAGTCTATGCAGAAACTGGCTGGTGTTTTGGAATATGTTTCCTACCTCTATTTGGGATACGTATACCCCATTTTATGTGTTTTTTTTTTTTTAAATATTTTATTTTTTTTATTTTCTCGTAAAACAAACACATTATCCAGTTGGAATGCTGATCCTTTTTGTTCAATCTTTGGGGAATGCTCAGCCACTCACCCAGGAAATGTCAAGACATTGCTGCCTCCAGACCTTTCGGCACGGTGGTCCATGGCCACGCCGTGCCGCCGAAGGCCTATTCGGCCACTGGGCCAGTCCGGAAGATGTTAGTCGATGTGGAGGGGAAGATCGTGAAGATCGACGTGCGACTTCCAGACGACCTGCTAGACCTGCTCACATCTGCTCAGACGTGATGGAGCTGCGGGGAGCAAAAGCGGGTACGAGCGGGGAGGGTGCAGAGGATGAGGACGGAAGAAGCTAAACGATTGCTGGGTAGTGACAGCAAGTTGGTAGCAGATACAACGTGAGTCGACATGATCTAAATTGCATGTTGCTACTGATGTTGCACGGTTTCTTCTGCGTCAGAGTTGCACGGTTTTACTGTTTGCACAGCAACAACTGGTGCAAAGACTTTCACACAGCTACGACCGCCCGACCGCTGCTGTTCACGACGCCCGACCGGTCCTTCCACACCTTGATCTCGGCGGTTCGAGGAACTCGACCCCAGACCGGCGACCCTGGTCGCGTCGATCCGAAGCACCGCTTGAAGATCTTCAGCTGGGTTTTGGAACGGAAACCACCGAAGAAGTCGCGAAGTCGCCACTCGGATGAAACAGTTGCCAGGTTGAATTCCTTTGGCAAACCAACCAGATGGTCTCTGAAGTTCCAACACACGACACACACACACACACACACTGTGTTTTTCTTCGTGACTTTTCCCTTGGTTAAGCTGAATTTTCCATGGATAAACAGATGTCAAAATACATAGAAGAATAACCCGAGGGGATGGTTCAGAACTCCTGCAAGGCTGTTTTAATCCTTGACATCACATCCCTCGCCTGGTTTTGCAGGATATTTTCATTTTCCCTTTGGATGAATCCCCTTCTTGGATATACATTTTTTCCGATTCCTCAAGCAAATCCAAGCTTTTGAATGACTTCTCAATACATCGACACCTACGGAGGTCGGCGCAACCGACCCAGGCGCGCACCGCAAGCGCCTGGAACGGGAGTTGGGCTCCTTACGCACCGAGTTGGCCAAGTGCCCGGGGACCCAACGTCCCTCCCGGTGCCTGGCCATGCCATCGAAAACGGGCCGTGAAGGACGAACCGTACAGACGAAGGCCGGGGGATGTTCGATGGAGTCTCGTGGTTCATTGGAGGATCCAATCGTCAATTTTTGTTTTCGGAGGTTCATTGGAGGATCCAATAGGAGGACTTGTTTTGGAGGCTCCAATCGTTCCTTTTTCGTAGACGTGACGTTCGATGGAGAGTTCCGGGGCTTCTCGGAGTTGGGTTGAACAAGGACGGGCCGGGGTGAACCAGGGGGAACGTCGGGTTCGACACGACGACGGGGGAAGTGGAGGGTGACAAGCAGTGATGACAAGGGGGAAGAAGAAGTGAAGTGAAAAGAACGACCGCAGGTTCACAAGAGTAGGAATTTGGGACATGGTTTTCTGGTGTTAGAGTTTGAGTTGATGGGTTTTGATCCCGAAGGCGACACACCACTTGAGCCCCCCCATTTCCACATCACGCCGACTCCGCTTCCGCACAGTCCCAGCCTAGGCGAAAGTATCGTGGAGCATTTGGTGGAGGAGATTGAAGAGCAGACGCGCCCTTTGGTCTGCAGAGTCGGTCGTCGTACGGAGTCGTAGACATGACGGCGATGTTTTGGGTGGTGGGCGGTCCAACATAGAGGTCATTCGTGTCGGTATGCATTGTTGGACAGTTTTTTCCAAAAAGACGCGCGCGCTCTTGGCGTCTCCACCAAATTAACTTCGCAGTGGTCACTGCTGTTCGTTCGTACATTGAACACTGATGTTGACAAACACATGTCGATCTAAGCCGCCTTCGCCCATTTGGACATGGAATTGCCTCCTCCTCTTCCTCTTCCACTGCGACCTTTGGACAGCCCCGCGACCGAAGGCCCGACACGTCCGCCCCGACCCGTCCGACCCCAAAGGACCATCTAAAGAGACCCCCTCGGGCCCCTGCCCGTGCCTAGGTAGAATCCCGGGCTCCTGGGCCGCCCCCTGTCCGTTGCAGTTCGGTGCGTTTCGGGCTCGGAACACGCGGAACGCAACACGGATGGACCGTTGCGGTGCGGTTCGGTCACATCTGGTCCTTCGCAGTTTGGGTGACATCCCAAGAATGCACTCCCAAGATCCTAAGCAATGGAATAGTCGGGAACTTGGTGGTTCCGTCTCGGAGCTCATCCTAACATGGAACAGTTGGCGCAACTGAAAACGAGTTGCCTGAAACAGACCACACCGGCGGTTTTCGAAAACCAGTGCGCGCGTGCCCAAGAGGTCATTCCCGGAACTCCAGCCTGGTCGTGCACCTTTATCAAAAGTATCGAAGGCGTCCGACGTAAAAGGGACTTTACATGAAAGCAAGGAGGCGCTTGGCCAGGATGACGTTGATTCATCCCCCATTTCCTCGCCTCGCAGCCTCCCTTCACCCTTACTTTCCATTCAATTGCGGGGTAACGGACATATCCAGCCCCAAACCAAAGACCCATCCCTTCAAGACTCTTGGAAACACTATTCCCCCAAAGACGCTTGTTGGGAGTTTGCCATCACCCCCTGTTGCTTTACATGCTTGTTTGGAGGACGGCCGGAGGTGCCATCACCTTCGGAGAGCTGCTTTCGACCAGGCCGTGGCGCTCTAGGTGCTTCCACAGCAGTGGCAGAGGCAAAGGCAGCCATGGAAGGCGCCCATCCGCGATTTCTCGCATGGCCAGATGAGCACAGCGTGGTGATGGTGAATACCCCACAAGTCTAAACACTAGGAAAGCACCAGCGAAATAATAAAGGTACAGCCCTAGACTCGGGTCACCCGGGTCACCGAGTCAGAACAACTAAAGAGTGTCTTGGATACTCTTACAAGCACCAGTATGTCACTCGAGCTTCATCTGGGATGATTCAATGTTTGAACTTCGTATCTTTACAGGCGGGCTGAAACCATCAAGCAGCAGCGGATCTAGAATGAATCAACATTCTTAGTAGGGATATGTAGGGATGAAGAACAACCTTTTCTTATCTTGGGTGATTTCTGTCATGCGTCACTACGTGGAAAGGAGCAGGAAGAGTTTGACTTCTGGGTGAGCATAGGTCCATCAACCCCCCAGCATCCATACCCAGAAAGGGCACCCCTGCAGAAGGGGCATGAACATCCTCCCTCACTGAGATTCCTGGAACTACCTGGAAGGCACACATCTTGTTTTGGGTTCCCTGAGATTCCAAGTTCCAACCACCTTTTGTTGTTAATACGAGTTTTTAAAGGTCTTGGAAGGCTAGGGTGCTCTTTGATGTCCTTGCGGTTTCTGCCTCCATTGACTTTTGCTTCCGAAGCCCTTTCCGTGTCTTTGCACAGGAAAGCAGCTCCGGCAGAAGGCGGCAGAGCCTGGCTCGGAAGCCTGGATGGTTCTCCTGCAGTGATGGGTTCTTGGAAGAACCAGGTCGTACGGGCCCCGTCTGGAAATCCTTTGACACGTGACCCTGGAATCGAAGGTGACCCTGGAATCGGAGACGGGGTGACTTGGATGACTTGGACCACACAGGTCATCCAGGGTTTGAAACCTCCTCGGTCTGGATGAGAAAGGAGTGTAAAGACCGTTGACCCTCGGACGGAGATAGAGGGTCGGACCCTCCAGACAAGAACAAAGTCGGATTCAGAAACGAAACTCCAGACAAGGCCAGAGGGTCAGGGTCCAGTCTCTGTCTAAGCCGCATTGCCTCGAGGGGTTCGAGCTCATCAAGATTCTAAAGATCAAGAACCAGCTGTTTCTACACCAGACTCAGACTCATCAGATTCCCATTCTTCTTACTTCACATGCCGATCTCGAAACCTCCAACAGTCATGACCAGGAAAGACTCACCAGTTGTTGACGCTCTCAGGCGGCACCGATTCACCGGTGAGAGGTCAGTCAGCTTGGTCGTTTCACGTAAGATAGCCGATTCAACGGAACCTTCCCTCTCCCCAAAGGGTTCCGCTCCACCTCCAGCCGTGAGGCGTGGTGGACGACCTGAAAGGCGCTCTGAGCCGGGCAGCCCAAGGGACCCGAAGGAAGGGACCCGCACGAACCGGTGCTTTGGTGCTTCAGTATGTTTCAGCCAAATCATGGTCAGGGCGCAATCCGGATTGGCCTTCCCCTATCTATTCCATGGATGGTCTGGGTTTAGTCATGAACGTGGAGACTATTGAGATTCCTCAAAGATTTGATAATGATAGGTTGACCCAGCTTCTGCTTCTTTTGCCGCTGGCTCAAGGCAAATCAAGGGCCAACGCATGGAACATACAGACAAGCACGGACATGTTGTAAACGATGTTTGTGTATTCTTGTTTGTTTCCTGAAGGTTCGCAGAAATCGGTGGGCAAGATGTTCAGCTGTTGCCTGCAGCCCAGTGTGGAGGTGGAGAATGACGAGCTCCTTGTATCCGAGAGCAGGCTACAAAAATGGTGGTCCGAACAGGCGATGATTGACCAAACACATGTACCTGGACACTAAACCTACGTACCTAACAGGAGGTACCACTGCACCATTTTGCGAGGTACGGACTGAGACTCGATTCCAGTGGTATTCGTTTGAACTAGCTGTGAACTCCGTATTCCTAAATGTTTGCCTTTTTTTGCGGTGCCCAGAGAGTTTTTTTTTTGACCTGATATGCAGGACCCGTCACCTGGGAAAGTCGAACTAGGATTCTGAAAAACCTTTGTTGGTGGGGTTGGGGGTGCTATTTGGACATTCAGCTCTTTACTTTACAATGAACCTGGGATGATGGAGTTCTTCTCATTGAGCACAACAGCTAAGACCGTCAAGTTCCGTCAAAGACAAAGATGGATGTGTAGCTCAAAAGGGGAGACCCCCCCCCAGGCATCCTTTTCTGAAGGAAAATCGACCAATCTACCCCTTCAAACCCCTTGACCAAGGTAGGAAGTACGTGAAAGTCTCCCTGCTGAAATACGACACACCCCGTGACTCGTCCCCCCATGACACCACACCCAGTGTGACTCCTCTTGACTCGTCGAATTCGTTTCATGAAACGAGAAGGTGACCTTTGCGAGCATGAGAAGATGCAAAGAGAAGAAGAAGAACTCATCGTCGGTCAAGTATCGACGTCGACACCTATGTGGTGGTGAAGAAGCTCCTTGGCCTTCCTGTGAAAGATAGAGTGTGCAGGAAGGCTTTCTATTTTTTGTCCAATCGGCATTCTTTTGGCAATCCAGTGTCAAAAAACAGAGGGTGAATGCCTGAGAAAGTGATGTGGCAGCCAGGTGTGCGTGCGGATCTCCAAGGAAGACCTTACAGGACCTCCGCATGAGTTCATAAAGGACAGCATGTTGGCGGGCAAGGTCACGTCGTACGAGGAGTTTCGGGAGCCCCTCTGGCCTTTTTGTTGCTTCATGCCCGAGGGCAACCCCTTTTATCACACGTCTCCTGGGAGTTGTTGAGTCCTACCTGGAGTTGTTGAAGTACGACCACCCACTCGAAGTACATGGGACATGACCGGAATAAGAAACAAGTACCAGACTCCAGGTAGTTGCACTTTTCCATTGTTTTGTGCGCAGCCACACAAGTGCACACTTTCCAGCCACACCTCTTTTTCTCGTTTGCAAATTCTCTCCCAGACAGGTTTGGTGGGTACTGTAGTGGAGAGATGACCCAAAGGTCAAGACCAACATTCGAAATGAAACACACACACACTCGCAACGTCGAATTTCTGGCTAGCAAGACATAGTGTAGTGTAATATGTATATACTGCATATCTATCTATATATATATATATTGATCAAGTATGTTGAGTCAGTATAGACACAGCCAAACCCAGCAGCAGCGATTTCTTTTGAGCACCAGGTATGCTGTGTTGTCCATCAATTTCGGAAGATCGAGATGTTGGTGGGAGAGGGCTTTGTTTCTTGGTGAAGTCGGAGAGAGAGAACGGGTCCCCGACGGGTCCCCTTCCGTTTCTCGGAGGTTCTGATTCACTGCATGCGGATTCAGAAATCCGGGCGATCGGGGACGGGTTCGGATCCGGACCCCTGCCAAACGGGTCCAAGGATTGTTAGGGCAATGAAAGACCATCCACAGGTCAGCGCCCGACTTCACAGGTCAGCACTTTGAAGTCTGCATTTCACCCACCATTTCGGAGACTTGTTGGTGGGTGCTGGCACATCCAAAGACCCAGTAAAACCTGGTCTTCTACATCCTTAAGTAGTGTTTGTTCATTACCGCGTTCAGTAAAACGAGGTCATGTAAAAAAGGTCCCCACAAATTCCTGGAGTCTCAGGTTCGTACCGGGTCAAATCCTTCGAACGCATGGGACATGACCCCAACAAAGAACCGACAGGTCCTCCCCCACGTGCCCGTGAAACCCGAAGTGCGGGTTCGTCCGGGTCAGAAGTCCAGGTACCGGTTTTTTGGGGGGTTCGGGTCCTGTGAGCCCATGTCACATGCGACTGGCCCCGGGCCGGGCCCCATCCGGGTGAGCGACCATCGATCCCGTCGGTTTCCGACGGGAGGAAGGTTTTGGATGGTTTCGGTGAGTACGCATGAAACCAAAGAATGCCCTACCTAGCCTCTAAACTTTTGTACCAGGACTCTTTCTGGGTGATGTAATTGGCGCCAGAGTGGCTTAAAGCCTTCGAGACTTCTGATCGTGACAGAAGAGCTTAGGACCTTGTTGGAATCCCTCAACATTTCAGGGCCTTCCACGGCGTTCCAGAACCCAGCAGGGATGTGACGAAGCACATCACCGTAACCTGGTTTCGCGGAGCAAAGTTTTTTTAGGTGATTTTCCCGAACTGGGTAAATCCCCTTCTAGTGCACATGTGTGATTGTTCAAGGCTCCTGGACAACAAATCCAAGGTAAAAGATGTGCTGTCGTGGATGGGTGGATCATTGGCAAGCCGATGGGAGCGATACAGCACACTGTTCAACAACTGCCAGCATTTTCAAGCAGAGCTACAAGTGACTGGGCGTGCAAAAGCAGAGCCGTGGACTTTTGGGGAGTTGGTGGGTGAAGCAGAGCCCTGAAAACTCGATGCCCCGGACGCGGGCTTCAGGTGGTGTCCGTTGCTTCAATAGGCATTTGAACTGGCGTTCCTTTTCCGGGTCGTAGCTCCTCAGTCCCACCAACTCCAGTCCCACCAACACCAAGGGATTCCAAGAATTGTCGCAGACCAACCATGCATGGCATACCTACCTTGGGGTGGTTTTAGGGGTCCATACATGGGTGGTCTGGGTCGTGGTGATGGAGCAGGCCATCTCAGTCCAAGAGGTGTGAGCGCTGACAGCGGGGAGCGCTGACAGCGGGGACGCTGGCATGAAGTTGTTGATTGATTTATCAAAAACGCCGCTGAGAGCGTTCCTTTCTGTTGCTTCTAATGGTCTTAAGTCTTGCTTTTGGAGTGCCCAGACCTTGCTCTTTGACGAGTCCGGAAGCTTGCAGCCGCCGCGTGGTGAATTCCTCAATCGAGCATTGGCGCTCGAAAGTATCCGGCAAGATCCGACACGACTGGTTTTCTTCCCCGAGAGTCTGCGCGAAGACGCTTGGCTGAAGTTGTTGCTCAATATTTGTTGTATAATGTTTTAGCGCGGTCTTGACGCAATCCCTCAAGATCCATTGAATCTATTGACACCTCCTCAAACTGCCTAGCTTGATGATCCACCGTGAACCGATCTGTCACTGAACCGGTTCAGACTGAGAGTGATTCGTGTTTTCATGTCTTGTACTTGGAAACCCGCAAGGACCCGGAGCTCGTTCAAGCAGCTGTTGGGGACCTCCCTAACCTGCTGACACGTCGGCCAGGCCAGCCAACTTCACACTGGAATCCAAAGAGACCAGTGTATTGAATCCCGCTTGAACCATAGGCCACCTTTGGCCACGACAGATCGATTGAATTTCAACACAAAGCCAGCACAGAGGCACCGTTTCAAGGCTCAACGCCCGCATTGAAAAACGGTGAGTGGATTTCGGATGATGGTGGCTATGGCCTGAGTTCAGAGGACCGTTGTCCAAATCTTTTAGGGGCATGGGCCCGCCACTGCTATCGGAGGGGTTTCCAGAGATCAGGAGTAAAGGAGGGCCGCACAATGAACTGATTCTCGGTGTCCAGGGTGCTGTTGGCACGCCGGTCCCAACCAAGCTATTGGATGGACAGGGAGGCCCCAAGACAGCGTGGAACATCGTTCCATGCCATGGTTCCGGTTCCTAAACGGTGAGAAAATCACATGGGGTGGGGTGGCAAAGCCTGCAAAGAGGCCACATCTGAGCAGGTACACGAGATTCGGCGAGAGGAGGAAACTTGCAGATTCGAAGTGGCAATCGGAAGATCCCTAGATCAGCGAGCATATGCGAACCGAATCTTGTGGGTGGAGTCTGGCACGTACGAGGGGGGTATGAGGGACGGACTAATTGCAAAACCCCACAGACACTCATGACCCCGCCTATCACTCATGACCCCTAAATGCGTTTCAGCCCAATCCCTATAGGTCATAAGCCGTTAACCCCCACGATTTGGGGTCTACAATGCAGACACCCAGAGCCCCTAGAAGTAGTTGACGGTATCACATCACGAGGTGCACCTGAGAGACGAACAGATTTCCGGAGCGGCGTGTTTACCCTGCGAGCCTGCGAGCGAATTCGATTCCCGAGGGTTTTTGCTGGAGGTGGTGGAGGTAGGAAACACACTCCGCGACCGCTCATGGATTCGTGGATTCGCTGCTACCCGAGAGGAATTTGAGGGTCCAGTTGTACCTTCGAGTCGGCACGCGGATCCTTCTTATAGGGCACGTCTTCTTTCGGATGTTCACTCCGTCCGGAAGTCGCTCGGTGTCAACGTCGGACCGACCGGTCATGGTCACCAGGTCGACGGCGGTGGGCGCCCCCCCCAAAGAGACGTTGACGACCAATGCCACCAAGCAGGTGGATTTCACATCAGATGCAATCCTAAATATGTTTTTCACCGTTAAAACGTCTATTTTTTTCCACACAATGACGGTCACAACCCCTCACCCTCAATTGTAACGGTGATTAAATATGTCCGAATCCGATTCCCCACAACAGACAACACACTCTGAAACTCCCCACCCTTTGGCCATCGCCATCATCGCCACCGTGTCGAGCAGCGACGCTCAGATGGTTTCTTCTCAGCCATTGGCACCCGGGTGACCTTAGCCGTGGCCCCCAGTGAGGACGGACCGGCGATTGGTTGGGGCGAGGGCGTTCCGAGTTTTGAACGTGGGTTGAAGTCAAGAGTACCAAGTCCATCCGGCCAGGCCCTCTGAACTTGTTTGGTTTGGTCTCCAAAACCACATGCTGCTCACCCATCTGACCATCGTCCCCGCACGCAACCGGCCAAGTTCAGGAGACCGTAGCCCGTGCCGAGCGCGAAAAAGGAGGGGTCTGTGGTCGGCACGCCGGTGGTCGGTTCTGGAGAATATAAACAGGGAGACCTCCAAGGCAACGACTCCCTGGAAGAAACAAAATTAGACGAGTCTGTCCAGTGGTTGGGGGCTCTCCTTATATTTCCATATTCTCCCTGATGAAATTAAAGAAGATTTTTTCAAAGGTTTTTTCCAAGGGCTACTCTCCTGCGAACACATGCAAGTGGGGGTTTCCCCCGAACTGTCAAGCAAAGTCGTCTTTCAGGGGCACATGTTCCACTTCCATCTTAGTGAAGTCAGAGCATACACGGTAGCACCACCATATTCCGTGGTGCAGCTGCGCATGGTTGAGACTTGTGCTTTCGCTGCGCATTGAAGCCGCCGTTTCGGCCGTGGATCGCGCTCTTGGATCGAAGCAAATTAGATATCGGAGACCGTGCAACGCCCATCAGGGTGGTGTGAGCTCCGGAACAAACCCATCAGGGATCCAAATCCAAGTAGCCCCTTATAGAAGGAGTTTGGACCCTCCAAGGGCTCAAAGTGTCGAACACATCACCTTCTCATAGGGTATGTGGATCGATAGGGAAATTGTAATTAGACCCGATTCCTGCAGATCTTCGCTACTTTTTATTACTACCCCTTATATAGTGGTCTTGGCGAGCTATGCAGGCGACATTCTTGATAGGTCGGATCGGTCAAGACCTCAACCCTCAGCTCTCATGAAACGCACTGAGAGCTGTGTCGTCAGCTTCAAACCGCCTCACCTGGCCACGGCCGAGTCGTCGTGCCTTGCCTTCTGCGCTTCGGAGAAGCGCAGATCGAGCGATGACGCCGGTGGGAAGGGCCTTGGGCAGTCTGAAGCACTTGGAATCGCTGGATGGCTTGCGCTATTTGGCCTCCCTCCAGGCCAAAGGAATCCGAAGGAATTCGAAGGAATACGAGGGGAGTGTGTGTCAGGGAGGAGGTGGCTGTGGTGATGTGCCTTTCTTGGTTGGACAAGGCGAGAGATTTTGCTGAGGTGAGCGAGGTTCACACGTCTTTGAGATCGTATGGTCTTCCTCGGCACATGTAAAATCATCGGCTGCGGATAAGTCCCCACTGTTCGGGTCAAAAGGCACACTGTTCTTAGCCCAGATACCTTTTTAGCGAGCTTGCTCTCTGGGGTCGCTGGCGTAGCTTCCGAGTCTCAGAAGCCGACTCCCGCATGTTGGGAGATCGGCGGTTCGTGGTTTGGGGACCAGGTGGCGGAGTCGGCCGAGCTGGGTGAGCCGGGTGATGAGATTTTCAGATTCCCCTCCCAGTGCCAGCCGCTGGAGACCACTGTATTGTCCCCCCCAACTCTATGAGTGAGTTGGGTTGAAGCCTGACCCCTAATCCGAACGGTTCTGAACCCTACCCAGTCCGAACTTCTTCCGCACTTCTTCGGCCGTCCAGAGGTGGCTTTGAGTCATTTGAACTTTCTCTGGCATCCCTTGGTTTGGGCGGCCATGTGGACTCAATTCTTCTTCCTCCTAAGTGGCTTCGTCCTCGCCTATGCAGAGATGATGCGACCAGCAGGGCAGCAGGAACTCTCAGTGCTGCGATACACCTTGCGGCGCCTGCGGAACCTCTACCCACCCTACCTGGTGCCATGACCTATAGAAAAAGTCTTGCAGCGTATCCAGGAGTGCTTTTTTGTCCCATCCAGTGAGTGGATGTGACAGCAGCCGAACTCGGCACCGTTCGGTACTGGAACTGGGGTCCGTCTCGTCAGCCTCGTCTCGCTCAATCCCAGGTGGGTAGGGGTTGACACTTGCGGCATGGTCGTTCGTGTGGTCTGACCAACAAGTCGTCCAAAGGGTTCAGCCGGTCGGACCGTCCAAGTGCTCTGCGCCTCACCAAGTGCTATGCGTGTTCGGTTGGGTGGTTTGGGAATTACCAGGTTTTCTCGAACATTTTGGGCAGGGGACGGAATTGGTAGGTGGATCGGGAAGAAATGGAGAAAACACTGCAGGCGGTGAGGTTGGCCTCTAAACCCAGACACTTTATGAAAAAAAGTAAAAAGGAAGACACATCTATGTTGACCCCTTTTCAACCATCCCAACTGATTGGTCTGGTAACTGCCAGTCCCACAGGTCTCGTGTGTTTTTGTTGGTCCTTCGACCCCACCGACGCCTGGCCTGGCTTGGCCCAAGGCGATTCTTCTCATCTCGATGGTGCAATGGTCCCACAGCGACTTCGAGTGGCACACGGTGATTTTCAATTTGCTTCTCTTGCAGGCATGGTTCCCCCTGATCGACTCACGACGGCATGTTCCGCGAAGGAGTGAACTTGGAGGATGGGGTTGGGCGAGGAGAGACGGGCAAGTGGGGTTTGGAGGGGTTTTGGAGTAGCTTTTTCTTTTTTAAGGACATGCTGGAAGAGAGTGGTGTCCCCAAATAGATAGAAATGGTTTCCAAGACATATTGAAAGGGATGGTGCTTTTCCTATCTATGTGGGAGTCTATTTGCACCTGGTCAATCATTGAAGACGGGGGATCTACCAAGACCGATGCCCCTAGACATCCGTGTGCCCCGAAGGTTTTAGGTTTTCCACCAGTGCAAGCTTCTACTCAGAAGTCACCAGCCACAACAGGAGAAGCCACTGCTGTGCCACCAATCCTGGGTCATTCTAAGACCTCTCTGACTCTTTCGTCCAGGCGGTGAGATCTACGTGGCTTTTTGGGGAGGGGCGCCCAAAGAAAGGGATCCTTTTGGTGGAAGCAACAAGGACGGCTTGCCGAAACTGCTTTGGAAGATGATGAGTTCCTTTTGTGGGTGGTATTTGTCAGTAAGGATAAGACTTAAGAACATTGGACCATATTTCTTTCCAACCAGCATCCAAGACCCCTCTCAGATGTAGCCACCGAACCGCCTTCGCGAAAAAAAAAACCAACCAAACCCTCCCACACACACTGCCTTTGTGGCCTTGAAGCAGCTCAGATGCATCGCTCCTTGGACCGAACTCTCTCAGGATCGACAGATGCATCCTCCCCGCCCGATCGCCGTGTCTTGGGTGGCGGTCGCGTGGTTCTTGAGTGCCCTGATGCTCTATTGGCAGCTGCTGCGGCCTGCGGCCCGGCTGGCCCGGAAGATGAGCATGAAGCTGGAGCGTGATAAGATGCGGGTGAAGGGTATAGGAATGGATCTGAAGAAAGGATTTGAAGGTATGAGTGAGTCGGAACATCACCCCAAGTACAATCGGTCGTGTCATGTGTCTGGAAAATGCATTGCATTCATCATTCATCCAGATTGACAAGAACTTGTTGGTGGTCCATATAGACTGCAACAGATTTTTGTTTTGTAGTAAAGAACACCGGAACCCTCTGGGCAATTTTTGCCTTCAAGAACGGCCTCTGCGTTGCTGTGAACCTGGCAGCGGGGATCGTACAAGGCGCCTGGCCTAGTTGAATGGCCGCTGAGGCAGTGTGCCCTTTGATGATCCAAGCGAAAGATCCGGTTGGAGGTTTTGTACTGCTGGGACCCTCCAAAAACCAATTTGAGTCTTTTTGGGGTATAAGTATACCCTGGGAGCCCAAGACCATTTTTAAAACGTCTTTAGGTGATCCGAGTTCAGGAACTTCCTTTACTTGGGTGGTGCCGAACATCGTCGAACTGGACTTCTAGGGTATAAGCACGTCCCTCTAATCATGGAATCATCGTGGAGTTGAACACCTGTTTTGGTCCCTCTGAGTTCGTTTGTTATGTGGGCCATACGTGTGCCTCTTACCACGTGTTCGGCCGTTGTTAACGGCGTGTTCCTCCCGGCTGTGAGGCAAAACCTCGGTCTTTCTTTGGGGCTTCAACACACACACACACACACACACACACCCCTGTGTATGAAACCTGCTTGACGCGAGTTGTTTCGTAATGAGAGTTGGATCTCGGGGGGGTTGTCAAGATTCTGCTTGAGGTTCTAGCTTTTGACCCACCTTCATATGGGTGTGTCACACCTATTTTTCCTAGAGGGAGACCACCGAACCCAATGAGACTCGTCGATGGAAGAGTGAGACCAAAAACCTAAGAGAAGGAGGAAGCACAAATCATGTGTTCTTTTCTGCCGAGTTCCTCCTCCTTCCTACACATTTTCCGGATACCTACAATCTGTGTACTCCATGACCTGTCCGATCATACATAGTCAACATATATATCTTTGTGTTGCTTTCGTTCTGGATGACTTCCGCCCGGTAGAACGCACGGTGCAGCCGGCGACAAACCGTACATGTTCCGTCTCACCTCGCTCCAAATTGTAGGAACACGGCAGTTCCGAGAGGCGCCATCGACTCAGGAGAGTGGCACTGGTATCTCTGTTTGGTTTGTGGCTATGTACGATCCTGTGCCTTGGACACTGGAAGAAACGCCCCCACTGACAGACTGGCGCGTGTGAGACTGAGACGTGGACTTGGAGCAAATTCTTCGTTGAGCTTTTTCAGTTTGCATGTGGTCTGCTCACAGACCCCCAACAGTCTAGTGACTTAGTGACTCAGTGCATGTCCAACGGACAAACCATTCAGAACTGAGGTCTGCTCATGGATCATTTTGAGATCAACCAACAGAGGTTGAAGAACCCTATAGGCTATCCCATAGGTACCCCAGTCCTACAAGTAGTGGTTTGTCTGAGCGCATCTTGCATGCCGCAAGAGCCCTCGCACACCAGATGCCGACGACACGAGCCTAAGCGGATGCAATTCAAAAGAAGACATCGTTTTCACCTGAACAAGGGCAGCTTCCCACCTAGCGTCAGGGCTTTGGCGGGTGGTGTCTACAAAGTAAAGGCTCACCGCGGGTGGTTCTTCAGCAGATCTCTGCCTTCTGCAAAGCGCCAGTCTTGGGCAACCGTAGCAGTGATTACATGCCAGGACCGTCCGATCATTTGGACAGCCCACCCGTGTCAAGGCAAAACGCCGGGACCCACGGGACCCCTGGGCCCCTGCTGGGCTTCACGTGTACAAGTGCACAGACAGAGGGCCAGCAATCAAGCCTATACATTCAGAACTGAAGAGGTCAAGAACCATACAACACCACCGAAATGGAAAGTCACGGAGTGACTGTCGGAAAAAGGACGAAGTACGTCATGAAAATGACCATGTAGTGTGCACGAAGATGCGCAAAAAAGGACGCACCAAAGCCATGTGAGGGATCCACAATGAACCACAATGTGAGCTGCAAAGTATCACACTTTTAAATTCACACTTGCATTTAGCTTGCGGTTGCAGATCCTTTGTGGAGCTTGGATGGGATATGTTTGCTTTCGAGTACCGTGTGAGTACGTCGTTGACCGCATGCTTTGCCTTCAGTGCTGGACCTCACGGGGCATCACCGTAACACGACGTCACCTCGGCGAGACGCTGACGCTGACGCCGCACTGACCGTCCAGCGTCTCGGGGGCTCCCAGGTGACGGGTTTGGTCGCTGAAGCTCTGGAGGTTTCGGACGAGGAGCGGCCACGCGACGAGCGTCTCGTCCGAGTGGCCTTCCTTGGTGTTCTCAGGTCCGCGCTGGGCGCCCGGCTGTTGAGGCTGGTGAGGTCTTCGTGAAAGGGCAGAAAATAGAGACACCTGTTCGAGATCTGGGCTTAAGCTTGGACCGGTGCTGACATGAAAGAAGTCCACTGGATCTCGAAGTTCAGATTGTTGGTGGAAATCCGGATCTTTTTCCACGCCAGCCTCGAGTCGCCACTCAGCCTCAGTGGCGACTTGTGGCTGATTGGTGCAGGACTGGGTTGTCCTTCATGGCGACTCCTGGCGGACGTGGTGGACTTCGTGTGATCGCACGCCGGGGAAGGTCCCGGTGGGTCGCTTTGGCCGGTTCATCCGCAAAGCCTTTCCGCAGCAAAGTGGAATGAGTTTCGCCGGCTCCAAAGAACGAATAGCAGCCGGCTCCAAGAGCAGACGAGACCAATCACCAAAAGGCACCTTTTTGGGTGTGAAGCGTCTGACTCTGCTGTACCTCATCTGCCGGCTTGGCTGCTTTGCCCATGGTCACGCGATGAAGCACGCACGCATCGGAGGCTGGCGTTGGAATGATGTTGAGCTTGTCGTGTTTTTTCATGTTTGTTTCCCTCGCAAAGCTGTTCCTTTTGGACCGATGTTTTTTCAAATCTATTGTTTTTACCGTGCTTCCATTTAGAAAGTCATTTCTCAGGCACCTCAGTCTCGGCGAGAACAGAGGCTCAGATGAGTCAAAACTGTTTGGCTGGGTCACAAGGCTTAAATGGTGTTCTGTTCTTGTTGGCCGCCTTCACAAAGAGGCGACTAGCTGTATCGCGCAGCCCTTTTGCGAACAAAAATGCCGAGATAAAACGAATAAGCGTCAGCGATTCTACAGCTCTAAAGCCCTGAATGCTTGATGCCAAACAGCGCCCGGTCTGCATGTTTGCATCGTCAGCATCCCAGAGGTGGCAAAACTCCGCCACTCAAGATCTTGGCGTGGTTGACTGTGCGAATGGCGTGAACGGTGAGCCGGAGCGATGGCCCACATTCTACGTCTGCTTGTTCTGTTGTTTTTCCCTGGCGATTCGCCAGGTGAGCCCAGCCATGCCCCCGACCCATCCAAGTTATAGACCGTGTGGATATTTGCCTGGGGTTTTGGGGGTCTATGGTTGAAAGCGCTTTCGCATCCTTCGCTGGTTGAAAGTCCGATGACGGCGCTGGATGGCGCAGAAACCTTTCTTGGCCCTGGGAAGTCACCAGCGATTCCTGAAACGATTCGCTGGGGTGTTTTTGTCGCAGCTCTCAGCGGCGCAAGCGCCGGCTTCCGAGGATCCTTCTGGCTTGGTCCCTAGGTGGAGTCCATGATTCAGACTTCATGCTGGCAATCTTGAAGTTTGGCCCGTTAGGTGCGTGGGGACATAATTTGGGTCGTTTCGCGACAGGGTGTTGGATGAGGTGGGATTTGTGGTCATTAACATGTTGCACAGGTTAAAACAACGCGTTTTGAAATTGCGACAAACACACACACACATTCATTTTGGCAGGTGCATTTCCGGGGAGATTTTGCGAGACGCTTGGGTTTGTGCCCGCCAACCTTTATTCTCCAGAGGTTGTGTTGCAAAAAAATAATCCGCGGAAAGAAACATTTGATGTGACACAGCTTTCCCGGTGTTGTGATCCAGTTTTTGGAAAAGGTCCAGGAAACCATGGAATTGAGGCCGGGTCTTTTTGAAAGGAGTTGATCCAAAGAATTGCGCGGAGATTGGACTTTCCCCAGGCAAAGTGACCTGAAAACACGAAGCAGTTGGAATCGACGTTTGCGGCAGTTCCTCAGTGGCAGGCTATATTCACGTCTTCCTCAGTGGCGTGGTCCTAGCACGTGTTTTCGTGCTGTTGGTCTGTGTGGATGCAGCGACTGGGGACACGCCCGACGCGGAGACGGAGGACTTTGAGCTGAGCACAGGCGCATGCAGAGAGGGGTGTTCGGCCCAAAGAATTTTGACGAACACATCGGGCATAGGTGTCCAAAATCCGATCCCCCATGAATGGTATGCAGCCGTTGGACACCCTGCCTTTGGTTGAATTCTAGGGAATGGACATCGCGGAATCCCAAGAACATGTTGAGCAATGTTTGAATGTCACAGAATCCCCACCAACTAGTCCAACTAGTGGGGTATATGCACATAGCCTGTAAAGTTCAACGGAGGGCTTTTGTTTACACAGAGATGGCTCATACTTGAGAGCATTTCCAACACATTAGCACAAAATGTTGATTACGCACATTCACCCTAGAAAGTGGTGGCATTTACCCTAGAAGTTGTGGCCCACCATTTTGATGGTCTTTGCCGAACAACCATGGTTTTACTAAGGATTTTACACTACAAAAGCAGATCGTTACCATTTTAAAGATGGTCGAATGGACTTCCAGGGTTTACAAACCCAGAACATTATTTTGGGCTGCCCCACCGATTTCGGCTGCCCATTTACACGGAAACTTTTGAAACTCACCACCACAACCACAGTGACCACGTCAACTTCACCTCACCCAGACAAGGACGGGCTCTCTTAAGGCCTTCTAAACTCGCATGGATTCCACATTTCGATTGGCTCAAGTAAGTGAAGGCACCTTTCAAGATGTGTGGGGTGCTTGCTGCCTCACTTTTTCACCAAGCACCGCGGTGTTTCCGGAACGCAGGAGGACAGTCCTTCCTGGGAAAGTCCCGGCCCACGGCCGCTGGGTGCCGGCGCCCAGCGTTTCACCGCTGCGCCTCGCCGCGCGAAGTTTCTCTCTCAACGGAGAGATGTGACCGACTGACTTTGGGAGCTGACCAGGAAGGACCTGCAGACCAGGAAGGACGAGTGGGCCGGGCCTCTGACTTCGTCCGCGACAGCGCGTGTCGGCTCCGGAAGGTCACGAGTGGGCCGAACGCAGCGAACCGCAGCCGAAGAGCGAGGCGAAGGGTGACTGCGGTAGGTCCCTTGCGTGTGGCAAAAGCCAGGAGGTCACTTGGAGCTGGTGGAGCTGAAGGTGCTGAAGGAGAAGCCAGTGGGAACAGACCAATCCTGGAGCTACACATCGAGCAGACTGACACGTCCATCCGTTCCCGTTCCGTCCATGTTCCGCTCATCCTGCGGTGCGGTCCACGCCCCGTCACCTCGGTCCAGGCGTCGGGCGGTTCCGCAGGTCGACCCGCCCAGCGGCGGGGAAGCAGGGTGTGACCCGGAGGGGCGCACCATGCGTGAAATGCTTGAAGCCCAGTCAAAACGGACCGTGATGCAGCTGTCAGCAGCTCATCATGAGCAATTGACGAAAGAAGCGCATCGAGCCAGGCTTTGGTCCGTTTGGGAAGTCCACGCACGAAGTGCACTGGAACCTGGTCTGCTTGTTGAAGCGAATTCCAACGGAGCCAAGGAGGCTCCGTGAGGGGCCGATCGAGGCAAGGAGAGGGTGAAGGATCATCATGGATCTATACCTGGACCCTCCAACAGGTGCTTCCTGGTGACAACAGGTGCCCAGAAACCACCTGTTAGGCTTCAAAAAACACCAGTTGGAAGGTCCTGGTACACATCTATGCTGCATCAATTTCGACATGTTTTGTGGATTGTGATGGGTCATAATGGATCTACAAAGTAGGAACAACATGGAACAACTATATAAAATCATGTACTTATATAGCCTGACCTTCCAAGCACCAAGTTTAACTCGGTCGTTGTTCTAAGACCAAGTTTAACTTAGTCGCGAAATCGAGACTATGTTTAACTATCAAAGACCATGTTTCACCGACCACATAAATGATGCATAAATGACCCCATTCTGCACCAAACCCCTCTTCGCACCATAATATATTATAATTCCAATCTTCTGTACACTTAAAAAACACATGTCTCGGAGCCAGTGCGCTTTTGGTGCCTGCTCCAGAACCTTGGTCTTGTTTCGTCTCAGCCCGAACCGCCGTTCTTCTTTCCGATCCCGGGCGACGGACCGTTCGACCGACGGTGCGACGGACCCAGACTCACAGGGTCTGGACAGACATGCCCCTGGCAGAACCTCTTGGAACCTGGCGGAAAAACCATCGGATGATTTGAGCCACCGAAATATGATTCAAGATACAGCCTTTACCAAACTTTTTTACTAAGGACATGACAGGAGGTCACCAGGTCAATCAAACTTTTTTGATCGTTGTGGCCCACTGGCTCTCGCTTCTGCCTCCAATCCCTCCGGCCCCTCCGGTCGCCGGGGGCATATTTCCAGCGGTCGTCACCAGGCCAGCTGCCATGGATCCTGGAGTTTGGAAGCTGCCTCGCCCTGGTGATCTATGTGCTCATCGTGTTCCGGATGCATCCGATGAACCGATGAACCGCGCGCACCGAGCAAACGCGGCGGGTCTCGAATTCCGCGGGTCGACCCGACGAGCATCGAATGAGGCCGAGAGATCGACCGACCGTCTCGTGGTGGTTCCGCGAAGAAGGAAGGCAAACGTGAAATGATTTGGGGTTGCCCCTAGTTTTTTCAAACATCTTGTCTATACCCACAGACAGCGACAGGACGAATCATGGTAAGAAACCAGTTTCCACCCCAAAGGACGCTCACACACTAGCCGCGCCTTCCAAGAGCTTGAAAAGTGTTCGGTTGACCTGTTGTTGTAGTGTAAATTCCTTAGCAAGACCATGGTTCGGGATTCAGAGCATTAAATCAATGGTGGTTGGAAGCCTAGGGTTACAGTGTTATAGTTCCATTGGGAAGAAGTGATCTCCTCAGATTCTGGATTTCGGATTCGGTGTTACCAAACTTAGCTCCTCCAAGTCACGCGAAAGGCGGTCCTCATGGCGTGGAGGTCAGCAGGTCATTTTTCTCAAAAGTATCTCAGACGCTTCATGGGACTGCCATATATGCCTACATTTAGGGTGGTTTGGGGGGTCAATGGGGCGGCATATATTCCAGTCCCATGGAGTGTTTGGGTATTGATCATTGGAGAGACCACCGAACAAACGATCACAGCTGATGTGGACAGATGACGTGGAGAGTTCACCATTGCCGGCAGGAAATCAGAATTCCCAACCTTCTGAAGATGAATGGAGAGTGACATCACTTCTTTCAAAACACTGGTGTTGAGTGTTGATGAATCCCTTCTGGAAAACGGGCGAGCATGGGTTTGGTGATTGCAGACCCTTGAGTTGGCACTCGCCTGCCACCCCGACGCGTTGATTTGGACTGGGATTGTTTCGACGTCCACGTCGAAGTCTTGAAGTACTCATTAAGCCCCCCCCGAACTCCTGGCTCAACTGCCAGCGACCATCTTTGGTGAAGCCTTATTACGACTCCTTATATCACTATCTTCGGGAATTGAGAGGAGTCTTGTTAGCCCTATAGAGTCATTTTTCTCAAAAGTACTCCTTACTCCTTTATCACGACTCCTTATTACGCCCTCTTTGGTGAAGCCTTATTATTCGGGAATTGAGCCAAGAGTCTTGAGAGGGCTATACCATCCTTTGCTTTCGCCGCCGATGTCGACCGACCCGCACCGAGACGGAGCCCCCTTCGGGTCCGGGTGGTCCGCACCGTGCGTTCCGTGGCTCCGCCGGTGTGGATTCCCATGGGTTTAAGGGTCGGGTGTGGGACGGAACTCAGGTGATGCTGCGTTTGGATCCCTGGAAAGCCACCGGGTTTTACGCCTTTTGCCACAACGGAGGACTCGGAGACTGGTGTTGGGAAGGGTGGACCCAAGTGGGCATGATCAGTGATAAGCTGCAGAAAAGTGGATCCGCAAGTCCTTACCTGGACCATCCTGTCAGGGTGGTCAATGGAGATCCGTACGTAGTGCAGGGTAGTCCAGCCAGGAAGCCCAGACAGGATGGTCCAGGATGGTCCAGGTACATACATATTATATCCTTGTATCAATGTCCTTCATGATGCGGTCCTTTGATCCTGTGATTCCGATAAAGGATGGGGCAGCACCCGACTCTACAGGTCCTGGAGACTGAAAAGTGGCAGGTGGTGACCTCTGAAGTCGGGTGCTGGTAAATATCTTGTATGTGTTACATGTTGCAGGCCACGGTGACTTTCATGGGGCCGGATCGAAGCCTTTCACCCAAATTCATGTTCAGCATGGTCGTTTCGACCTTCCCGGACCTTCCAACCCCCCTGCAATCCCCTGAGCCGGAGGAATCTTGCCGATCATGTGCCTGCTGCTGCTGGCTTGCGCCACCGAGGAGGATGCCATGGTGCCGTTGCTCACGTCGCGCGTGGGCAAGATGCTGGGGCGGATCTCCTACTGCCAATATTTGGTGCAGACGAACCTGGAACAAGCGGTGAGGCCGGGAATTGCTTGCTTCTGCCTCACTTCTTAAGGAGTTTACCGTTTACCAGTTACGTGTTTTCACACCTGCTCACAGCTTGCCGTCTCCAATTCTTTTCTTTGGCCCGGAATCAACAGGGCGTCAGACGGTTCTCGGGGACGCAACTAACTGATCTTTTTCAGCATGCTTTCCCTCCGGATCTGGTGCGGAAAGGACAGCTCGAGGCATCCCCACAACAGCCATTGTTGAAGGCTGTTCAACGAAATCCTGGCTGCTGGCTGAGGGGTTTTCTCAGATCAAGGTTCACCAGGGCTGGCCTTTCTGAAGTCTCACTCTGGAGCTGATGAAGGTCCAAATCGGTCCAAGTGCAGTCTTTCACCATCCAGTCCAGTCAGTCCAGTCACTGGGTGGTTCGCTTCGCGCCTTCGCGACTGGAAACCTCTGGAGCCGGGCACTCCACTCGCATCGGTGGACGTGGCTGTTTTTGACCCTCAAAACAACGGGTGAAGACATTGTAAGATATGTGCATGCATAGTAAAACAGGGAGACCTCAAGTCCGGCGTTGATCCAAGCCATGCAGACATGGCGCGTTGATGCAGACGGTTGAACCACAAGTCCTGACGAAGACGATGGGATGATTGGGACAAGATATCGCCTGAAAGAAGCAAAGTGACCTTGTTCTCCCCTGGTTTGAGGCCACTTAGGACTCCAAAGTTCGGTCGAAGAAGCTGGGGATGCCTATTTTCACCCCTTTTCCTTTCTCCTTTTCCCGTTTGGGATGTGGACGGCCAACGAGGCCTTGGCTGGATCTGGCAGTGCAGCATGGCATTGGCCTGTGGGTCGGCCTGCCGGTGCACCTGGGCAAGCAATGCGGGCTTCATGCGAAGGTGTTGCATAACTCGATCCGCCACGAGTCACAAAGGGTGGTTTTTAGTCCCATCCAGTGAGTGGATGTTCTGGGCACCCCTATCCTTCAAGTTCGGCACCCCTTTGGAACTACTGGTGACCGAAGCCCAGTGAGTTCGACTAAGCTTTGGCACCACCGAAGTGTTCACACAAATTCCCAGACTCAGGACATTTTCGAGTCAGACCTAAGAATAGTCTACTGGACTCCCAGGGTTGAGGAAGACGGAGATGATCAGTCAGACGCAGAAGAGCAGAAGAGCAGACGCAGATGATTTCAGCTCTTCAATCCTTCGATTCACGGCGTTGCCCTTCGATTCGACCAGCTTTGAGTTCATGAGGGGTGTTTCCTTCTCCCGCTTCTGAGCCACTCTCCCCGGTCCCCATGAAAGGGATCTCATGCCCGAAACGCCAGCCCGCCAGCTCAGACGCCCATGTTCGTGTTATAGATGGTGCTTGCTTCTCGGTGGCCCCTTTTCGGTGGCCCCTTTTCATGAGATCGCCAGAACCTTGGAGCGTTTGGATACCCGCAACACTGGCACCGGTGGGTCTAAGACCTTGGACTTCCAAGTGTACCGCAATGAGGTCAGGCGGATCGGCGGATCTCAGTAGACTCGGGGGTCCTTCAAACAGCAGTACCAGATGGGTCTCTCAGTAGTTGGAGGTGTTTTTGGTCCGGGGCTCCCCATCCCCAAGCCGTGCGGCCATCGCTGCCAGGTATTTGCTCACCTTGGTCTTCACCGCCTACGTCTTTGAGGCCTTGGTGTCTGCCCTGGTCCGAAGGGCCCAGGACGGGAAACCGGGTTCGCCAGAGGGAGGTGCCTTTCTTCGCGGGCGAGGTACCTGGACGATCGCCCAAAACGGGAGAGCACGGGAGCAGCGACTTGGAATCTAAAGATATCTAAAGATAGCCCCTGCGTTAGAAGATTTATCCAGGTCCCCTACTCAGTCCAGAATCAATGTTCTGGAATTAATATTTCTAACGCAGGTCCTATTTTTGGATTTCCCCTACCCAGTCCTATTTTTCTGTGATTTTTGGAAGAGAAGCAGGGACCTCACAGCCAGTCTGCCGGAGTCTGTTGGGCCGAAGGTTGGACCCCCGCCCCGGTTTTTGGGTGTGTTTGGAGGACGAAAACCCCAACCCATTGGGGAAAACGAAGACATGTCCAGTTCAAACCGCCAAACAACCAAACATGTCGCCGGGGCATAGGGACAATTCCAGTGCCCAGTCGCTTCCTGGCAGCACCTGGCAGCACGTGCACCACCCAGGCCGGCCATTGGCCAGGCCCTACAGCCCAGCAGGGGTTGGTTGGTTGGTTGGTTCGATCCACCGAAGAAACCAACAGAAAAGCCACGTGGGCGGCATTCGTTGAGGCTCTAATCAGCTCTGATTCCCTCAAAGACTTCAGGGCCTATTCAGACACGATCAGTGTCTTAATACTTAGCGCTTAATACATTTGCATGATCAATGGACCAACCACAACAAGGACACAGGACAACTTGGCCCGACCCCATGGTGTATTTCTACCAAACGAACCCCTTGTGAATCTTTGTGACACTTGAGGCACTGGTTTTTGAAGGCCCCAAAGAGACAGCTACCACGATGTCGGCCTCCAGGCGCCGCATGTTCACGATCGTCGCAGAACTTTGCGCATGGAAAAGCACGGCAGGACCTCGCCACAGCAGCTGTGGAGAAGTGTGAGGGCTCCTCCATTGAGAGCAGCTCCGAGGAAGAGAAGTCTCTCCAGTGAGATGGAGAAAGTGAGAGAGAGAGAGAGAGAGCCAGGTAGGACTGCAAAAAAGTGCACCTCACCGTATCCTATTCACTGCCAGGCTGCAGTTCGACACTTTACAGCCCTTTCTTTGGGGTATTATATATAAATAGGAGGAACACACCTAACACACGGCACACACCTGAAAAGGGACATTATTCAAGATCAACAAATAGACCTGAGTCCATAAGCACTCAGGCAACATCAGCCAGGTGGATGCGGCCCAGGAAAAACCACGTGGACTTGAAAAGAGAGGGACAGTTCATGAGATTTGTGCTTGCTTCAATAGCGAAGGATCATTTTGCCCTACTCTACGAATGCGGACCTCCCTCAGTGGAAAGGGTCTTATGATGCGGACCTCCCTCCGAAACTTGGTGGAAAGAAAGGTCTGACCCCGGTCTGAGTGTCCGAGGATTAGAAAGGGGCCTAGGGTAGTGTTGTAGCATCGCGAAATGGACTTCGGCAAACTGAAAATCTGGAAATCTCACATTTTGAGAGAAACCACCCTGAAATGATTGAACAAGATGGACATTTTGTATCAAAACCACCGAACCGTTTCGAGTACAAAGCACACCTGGGCCGTGTGAAGCCAGTAGCCAATGTTTGCGAGGCTGTGGGTGTCTGAAAAACGGTGGGACCTCAACATGAGGTGCTTGGAGGAGAGCAGGAAGAAACAGCTGAAAGACGGGGAGAAAGAGCTGACCGACTAGCAACATGGAGAAGCAACACTCTGCTTGAAATTTGAGTGTGACATGCTCAAGAGTCAAGATACGCACAGCTACACTAAGGGATATCCATTGGGCACCTATTGGATGGTCCAGGCACCCATTTGTTTTGAGACACACGCACGCACACTATTGGGCATTCAGTCGAACACCTAAGACAGGTGTTGGCCCTTGAAGAACTGAAGACGAACGGATCCATCTAAGACGCCTTGAGCTGGTCGAACGGTGTCCGTTTCACAGGTTTCTGACGTAGGTATGGCGTTTGTTGTGACATCTAGGATTCCAGTCCGAAACCAACTCAGGAAAAGTCACTAAAAAAGAACCGTGTTGGAAAAAGCCTCAAGCTTTCTTTTCCAGGGAAACCTCAGAGGGAGTCCGGAAAAATCGGAGGTGATGAAGTCCTCAAGGTGACGAAGTTCGGATGACACGTGGAAGCAATGAATGAGCTTCTCTTACGGTATGACACGGTTCCACCTCCTTCCGGCCTTCCGGTTCCTTAGTCGGACTTCCCTGTCGGAGCAGTCTCCGGGTCGAAAACGGACTTCCTTTGGAGTCTTCTAGTGCGTGTAGAAATGTATGACCAACTGGGCCCAAGACCGAAGAATGGATCCCAGCTATGAACACTTCGACACCGCCTCGAGGGACCCAAAGTGGAGCGAGCGGGAACGAATAAAGGCGGTTTTCCTTCGAGGCTTCCCATGGGCGGAGAACCGGTTTTGATCCTGAAAGAAAGGCCATTTACAACCAGGGCCGAGGGCTTGGGGGTATCTCGAAAAAACGGGTGCCCCGGTTGAGGTTCAGAGGCGTTAGGGGGTCACCCCAATCAAATACCTCAGAACAGCGAACGTGTGGATCAGTTCGTGGGACCGACGGGTGCTTTCATATCAGTTCCACTGCCAAACCGACGGTTGCTTTCTACAAAAAGGGATATTGGCTGATGCAAAACTTGGAGCAAAGAGCCTTCATAGCAGCTTCTGTGTATATAATATAGATCATGTCAGATTCCCACAAAAACCGCAATCGAATCATTTGAGCCGCTGTTGATTTGCATGAAAACACTACGTGGATTTTAGATATACAGTAGTTTATCGCCAGCACATTCGTCAGTTTCCAAGCGGGACCAAATTAGGGGATCACAATGGATCACATCTGCTCTGAAAGGTGGTCCACGACCCACAGGTTTAAGAGTGAATGATGTCATTCAGGCACACAGATTGAGGGCTTTCAAAGGAAAGAATTTGGGTCTGTGTCTAGGTTGGCCTGTTTAAGAACACCACGTTAATTTAGCCAGACATGCACTGGAAGCCAGCTCCCCTCCCCAAACCCTACATCTGGCTCAAGGCGTTTGTTCTTTTCCTTTTTTGCAGGGTCAGACCCAGATCTGCTGGGATGACACATCACACACACAGACCTTTATTGGCTCAAGAGTTGGAGCCTTTTGGCATCCGCAAGCGGAGCGATGCAGGCCAGCCAGAGTTTTCACCTACCTTCGTGCTTCTGTGAATGTGCGGAGCACCACTACCACTTCACTTTCCGAGACTCTTTCACTCGGATTCCGGGCCACCCATGCATTCACATAGGCTGAATCCCGGTCAGCGGTCGGCGATGTAGCGGATTTCTGGAGACGACAGGTCGAACGGTCTCCAGGCCAACCCGGTCTCCATCTACCATTGAATATGCTATTTTTTTGTTTTCTGGTTTCGAATTGGTTTCGACTGTCTTCCTCTACTGATAGGCCGTTTTCAACTTCAGGCAGTGGACATCTTCCACATACATGACTCAGTGGAAGTATTCCCACATACATACGCATACCTGGACCTTCAAGGGGCTTATATAGTGGTGTAGGGGCTTCCAGCCAGGTGACCCCTTTGTCATACATTCTTGTATGGAATATGTCAGGGGACATGACCATGACTCAGTCAACCTACATGGACTGCTTCACGGTCATGGACTGCTCGGTGTCCAGTGAAAAGTCACCAGGTCAGACTGTCAGACCGTCGTCCTCGGTCTCTCTCTTTTCGGATTCGGATTGAAAAGGCTCCTCGGAGTCCGGAAGATTACAAGGATTTTAAAACACTAAGGATTTTACACAAGGATCTTCCAACACTAAGGATTTTACTAAGGATTTTACATTGTTCTGCTAAGGATTTTACAACACCGGATCAACCTCCAGGGGTTCCCATCATCGTGCTCCACACCTCCACGCCCCATCGTTCGTCCTCACCGTGTGCGGAGTGGTTCGCTGGTCACTCCCGTTGATCGACGATGGGCCAAGACCACCTCGAAGGCACCATGACTCTGCATGACGGCTGCCACGCAAAAAACTTGCCGAGCACAAGAAACGGATTCAGAAGAGGTCGTAGCTTTGTTTGGAGCTAGGCTATGCCCATCCAACTTCAGATCGTTAGATGTTCCATGATTTTCTATACTCTGTGGCAGAGCTTGGCAAGGTTGGCAACCTGTTGATCCACTGACCATGCTGATGCACCTGGTTATAGCTTTTAGAAACAACCTGTATCCCTTTGGCCAAGATCACTTCATTGCTTCCCCTTCTTTGCTTTCCAAGACCCACCTAGCCCTGAACAGGCTACACTCGCCGCTCGGACTCTGCACCCCACCTCACCGGGCCGTGCTCTCTGTTGAACCGTGGCACCGCAGGCCGCACAGGCCTCCACCACCTTCAGGCACCGTGGCGCGTAGGGAGGGAGTTTTGGACGGGTATTTGGAAGTTCCAAGATGTTCCAGCTTTTTGAGCACTTTGGATGTTCCAGGATGTTACAAGCGTCTCGTGGCCAAGTGCCCTTTTCCTGCTTCTTGGTTCTTCACAGTGAAGACCGAGGTCCAGTAGAGGTTGGCCAATTTTCAAAAAGCGGGAGTTGCTCATGTGTTTTCCTCACCCAGATGCTCCAAGCCCTTTCCCGGTCCCTCAAAACCTAGGGATTGGAGATGATCGGTTCGACCCAAACCCCTCTATGGCCCCTACTTAGGAGGGTCCAAAGTCCCATATGTGGTGCACCCTGTGTCACTGCCTGAACCGTTTGTGCGACTCGCCCGCACCGACCCGTGCACCGATGCAAGAACTGCTCAGGGCGCAATGGGCGCCGTTCGTCCGGGGCTCAGATGTTGCTCGAAGGGGAGCTGCAGGGATTTGGAAAGAGGAGGAGCCATCAGCCCATCAACTATCCCTGACACCCAGTGTGGCTGAAGGGTCAGGATGCAGACCGACATATATACTGTATATATATTTCCGGTTGGACTTCGAGGGTGGAGGGCGATGGTGTGCCGGAGCCGCGGTTTTCGGAGAAGCAGATTCGGCCGAATGCAGGAGGCCCGAACTCCGCCGCGGGGTCGAGCTGAGCAGAGGCGCCGCCGAGCTGGTTCGGCCTGAAGGGAGGGCAGTGGGGAGGATGATGGCTCATGCGACGTGACACGGTCGGACAGACACTTAGAACACCTGGGATGTTTGGAAAGCAGATGTTCTAAGTGAGGTTGGCTATTAGTGAGTTATGGATTCAAGCATGTTAAAGGTGTTGGGTTATGTTTAGAACGTCCCGCATGCTTTTTGTAACTGGCATTTTTTGAAAAGTGATGTTCCATTTCTAAGTATTTGTCCGTCACTATAAAGCAAGAAAGGAGGACATAGCAAGACAGTTGCGGTTTCCATGGGAAAGCACATGAACATGAAGCACATTGAGACACCTGCATGGGAGTAAAAAACATGACAGCTAGAGGATTCTCAACTCATTGCTGAATGGTTTTGGTTTTCTTGGCTGATTTGGTCTGAATATGTGCAAAACAAGAGCCTCCCCCCAAACAAATAGAAGAACGCAATTGGAAGGGCTCTTCTTCCTCTATAGACAGCTCATGTGGAGCCACACACGACCTTTGCACACCTGTCATGTTTCCGATTTGAAGGGCAACCCCACATGGAGGCCCCGCCACATGTGCCCCGCGGTCAGACAGCGCGACAGATGGGCACAGACGGTCCGCACTCCAGGAAACCGGTCGAAAGCCCTCCGGTGGCGGCCTTTCCACCGCCGCGCTGCGTCGGCGTCCGCGTCCCGCGGGGCACACCGCGCTTTGCACCCGCGAGTCGTCCGGTGGACGCAGACCGGGTGGACACAGCATGCCAGCTTGGCAGACAGTGTCGAGACCTGAGCCACTCGATCGCGCAAAGGAATCCCCTTGGTTTTGAGATTGGTTTCCGGGATTAACTAAAGCCTGGACACGAACTACCGAGAAGTTACGCCAATTCTGCTTAGATTTGGTGGAGGATGCCGTTTTTTCATGTGCCCTGTTCTTCAAAGTGACCTTCTGGTCCTAATTTGAGGTCACAGACAGGCCTCGAAACTTC